TCCAGATTTTTTTCAATTTTTTTGTTTCTCTGTCTGTTTGTCTGTTTGTACGGGCTAATCTCCGAATCTATTGGACCGATTTAAATGAATTTTTTCATGGTGGTACCGTATATCCCCGGGCAACATCTTAGATACTTTTTATCTCGGAAATTTAAATAGTTCCCGTGGGATAGTTAAAAAACTATAATAACTCATACAGCTTAGTACACAAAAACTACTGATTAGATTTTAATAAACTTTACAATAATATAGTTCATACATGACAACAACAAATCCGTTACTTTTCATCCCGGAAAATTAAAGGGTTCTCGTGGGACAGTCAAAAAACTATAGTAACTTATACAGCTTAGTACACAAAAAGTACTGATTGGATTTTGATGAAACTTTACAATAATATAGGTCATACATCAGAATAACAAACAAGTTACTTTTTATCCCGGAAAAATGTACGGTTCCCGTGGAATAGATGTTTTCCCGTGGGATAGATGTTTTGTTTATTTGTAACGTATTATGTACACAACATAGACCCCAAAACAATAGTTGAACAAGAAAATTGTAAGTCTTAAAAAGGTCGATAGAATAGTTCTCAATAGTATATCTATGTCTATCTCCTAAGATACACTCACTATAACTATTTTCATTGTTATATATTACTGTTTTATTATACGTTATTTATTCTATCTATAAATATAATAAAACTGTAGAGGTCGAATGTCTGTACGTAGAAAAAAAAATGCTAAAAACCGAGTCAGTTATCTTCTTACATCCCGTAAGAAGAAAAATAGAAAAAATCCAGTTTTTTTTTAATTTTTTTGTTTCTCTGTTTGTTTATAGGGGCTAATCTCCGAAACTGTTGGACCGATTTAAATGAAATTTTGCATGGTGGTTACCTTATATGCCCGGTCAACATCTGTTTTTATCCCAGAAAATTAAAGAGTTCCCGTGGGATACTTAAAAAACTATAGTATGTTATACAGCTTGAGCCGCTAGTATACCTAAATATAATCCTTCTGTACGTGTGTTTGTTAACCTACTCCTCCTAAAGGGCTAGACCGATTTGGATGAAATTTTGTGTGTTATTTCCATAGGCTCCTGGATGGTTTGAAAATACAATTGTACCCGGTAGGTCGCGCTGCAGTCGGTGTAACACTGATTATCTCCTAAACGGCAGGGACGATTTTAATGATATTTTTTGTGTATGTTCGAGTGGGTCCCTGCAAGGTTAGAATTCATAAATGGATCCGGTAGGTGGCCCTGCAGTCGGTGTGTCACTAAATTTTCATAAAAAACTCCATTTTCCGAGCAATAAATACATTTAAATTGTTGATTAAATAAAATAAAAATGGATGTGTGTATGTATGTTTCCCATGGACTCCAATGCAGCTGTAGTGATTTTGATGAAATTTTCAGGTATATTTCAGATTAGCCCAGCGGGTAATCCTGTGAATTTTGTTATCGACCAGAAGTTTAGACGAGGGTGAAGCCGCGGGTACTGCTAGTATATATATAATATTAGAAGCCGCGTTGTTGTGGCACACATATGAAAATCATTAATTGTACAATAAAAAAAGGTAATAATCGAGATAAAAACTATCCTATCAAGTTGGAGCAAATTATACATTTAAAAAAATCTTTAAGAACGGATAATTAGTTTCGGAGTTCATCGCGGACCAACATCGTGACACGGGAATTCTATATATTAAGGTATATGTATTATATATATATATATATATATATATATATATATATATAATATATATATATATAATATCTTATCTATTCCATACTAACCATTAATCTACCTAGGAACGAACCCGAGCAATGTCAGGGTGAGTTGCTAGTTTATATATAAGTACGGATAGGATTTCTTATTTTGACAGTGTAATCGCGAGTCTGATCGCAGTTATTGGAATGGTTATAAAGGTAAAGATAGCGATTATACGAGTCTATTTTTGTCTCTTAGGTCATGATTAAGGAGGTCCAAGTCCAATCCGAGGTGATATTTTATACTCTCCGTCAATATCATATGCATTATTCCGATACTAAAATGTTTGTCGTTAAATATAATAACTGCTTAGTAAATAGTAAATGTCTTATTATATAGTTTACAATTTAAATTATAATTTGCAATAAATTTTCGGTAGCAAAATATAATGAGTACTAGCATGAGCTCTCACTGCCCCACGTCCATATTATCGGGCGTCGCGTGTTGGGTAAGAGTTTTTAAGCTAGATAAACGTATCGTCAAAACAAATATTTTCCTCAGCTACGTCAATGATCTTATATAACTCAGTATTTTTTTTAGAAAATATTTGTAACAAAGTAAATATAAAAAATATCCTTGTACATGTAGGTGTAATTTGTATTTTATAAATAGGTTAGTATTTACTACTAACAACACTACTAGTTAAAGTAACTTTAAGTAGCATTTAGAAGAAGAAAAAAATCAACAGTGTATAAAAATGGTTTGGATTTTTTTTACTAACAAATCACAAGTTATACGATACGACTCTTGCAATACTTGTCAAACATTTTTATTTATGTTACTTAATAAGTAAGTTCACGGGTGTGAACTGTGAACAAAACAGTTTATCAATGTTCATCGCGATCATACGGATAGTTTAGGAATGCAGGCGATACAAAGAAAAACAGAGGATAAAAATAGAGGTTAGCATCGTCATTCACCTTTATTTGAATAAACACGTTTAGTTTTCGAAAAAAAAATATTTAGATTTATGATAATATCTCGAAATGAAATATTTATTACTCATATACGAACGTAGAAGCCGATAAGGGCATGATTTCTATGTTTAAAAAATAGCTTACTGTCTAAACAATTTCCTCACTTAAGTGGTACACATTCCGTATTTCCTTTTAACCGAAGCCAAAATGAATACAAAATAAATACAAAATAAATATTATATCATGGAATAACAAAACGTAAATACAATTATAGTCACAGGAATTAATTATATAATTATCAATAAAAAATTGTTTATATAATCACATATTAACTTTTATAATTTGATGATTAAGTTTCTTACATTATTATAAATATATTCATTATTTTTATATTGTTTTAAAATAGTGTCGTCGCTTTTTATGTAAACTAAAGTAACCATTTTTAAACATCTTATGAAATTAAATATATCGTTACAAAGTCTTCTAAGTGAAAACTGCTGATGTCTCTTTGTTTTACGAATTAATATTATTCTATAACTTTACTTGAAATAAACTTCAATTTAAAATATTAAGCTACAGCATATATATTATATACTTTCACTATTATGGGTTAAACGTTCAAATATAACGTAATCCTAGTGGAGAGACAAGCACGTGGAAGTCCGCATAAAGCAGCTAGTGCTATGTGTTCACCCACCCTCGCTTCGCTCGGATCCGTCTCTAGGTGCGTTTTAGCGGTTAGTATGGAATAGTAGTCGATTCCTTCTCTGTGAAAAAACAAAAACAAATCTATCCCAAGGGGACCGTACATTTTACCGGGATAAAACCTATGTGCTATTCCAGACTACAATCTCTCTATATGCCAAATTTCATCCAGTTCGGTTCAGCCGTACTGGCGTGTTTGAGAAACAAATATCCAAACTTTCGCATTTGTAATATTAATATTAATGGGATTATTATATTAAAAAAAATGTAACTAAAAGTATACATTCAACGTTAACATTTACACCAAAATATATTAAACATAACCTTAGAAACAAAAACAAACTTGAATTTTGGCAGCCTCGAACGAAATCCTATGGCAATAAAAATATAATGTGTACTTATAATGTGTAATGTGTAGGTGTACTTTTATATAATAACCTACCGGATACTTTAAAAAATTGTAATAATATTAAGTCTTTTAAGAATAAGTTAAAATCATATGTTATAGATAAAATTTTATAACTGCATGTCTTCAATTTAAAAAAAAATATGAATATTATATTAGTATAATATTAATATTTTTTTAAAAAAAAGATTATCTTTTTATAATACATATGTACATAATATAGAAATAATTATACAAATTAAAGTTACATAAGAAAAAGTAAAAAAAATTATATAATGCATGCTACCGTGTAAATACTGTTAATATTATCTTTATATATATTGTACTTAATCTCTGTATAAGTGAACAGTGTGTTCTTTAGAGAAATAAATGTCTTTAACCAATTATTATTAGTTACGCCCTTTTTGTACAAACGGAAGTACTATGATGTCGTTGTATAGTAGCACTACTTCATTACACATAATATGTTTACGTAAAGGCATATTCTAGTACAATGAGACATCACTCGCGCATGTAAAAGAATGTAAAATAAATTGTAAATAAACTATTTCCTTGCAATAAATTATATTTTAATATGTAACACAATTACTTCAAGATACCTGTAATTTCTATAAATCCGCTTATTTTGAAAAATATATTTAAAAATTTCGGAAAGCACTTTACTAATTATAGAAAAACGTAATGGGCCTATTCGAATACTATAATATATGAAACGCGAAGTAACCCAATCATATACATAATTAAAATATGATTAACAAATGATAATATCGTGCCACCAAACGTTAAATTATGCAAGTACACTAATTAAAAAGAGAAATATGTAAATACTAGCTGACCCGACAGACGTTGTCCTGTCTACACGTCTTTAATTTGAAAATTTCAAACTTTTTTTAATAAGCTAAAACATTCTGGACCATTTTGATGAAAATTATTATTCAAATTGTGAATCTAAACCATTCTCAGATCCCCTTGAACACACACAAAAAATTTCATCAAAATCGGTCCAGTCGTTTGAGAGAAGTTCAGTGACATACACACTCACAGAAGAATTATATATATAAAGATGGCCTGTGTCTGAAAGAAAAATCAAAATAAATAAAATATATTAAAACAAACGCCATCTAGTATTGAATTAGGTAACTACATAAATTCAAACTTACTATTGCCATCTAGCGTCAAATTAAAGAACTTTTATGCTAGTACTTACCGCTCGTCGTTTCTCAGCGCTGTCTAGGGTCACAGTCTGCCCCGGCATGGAAGCTCTGCCCCTGAAGATGTCCATGACTTTGGCCATGGCACTGGGCCGGCGTGACGTCGATGCGGTCACCGTATGATAGTACTGCACGTATACAAACAAAATTAATAACATAAACAATTCTATGACAAATTATTATTGAGATAAAAAAAATGAGTTGATTGTTATGTTATAACGAATTGGCTGATGTTCACACAAATGTGATGTATCATTTAGATATTATTTTCCGTATTAAGATTGATTTTTGTGATAATTGCTATACAAATAGTAAGGACGGTGATAAAACAATTAAATTGAAAACATTGTTAAGACCAGTCGTCCATTATTGGTATATACAGTGTGTGTGTGTGTGTGTGTGTGTGTGTGTGTGTTTGTATATAAAGTGATTGCAAGTAAAATAAAGTATTGAATACCAAACCAAAAACACGACAAACAATTCGAAAGTAGAAATTAAATAGATTTAAATCGCCATCGACAATTCAAATGAAAACTATAGATTCAAAGTATCTTCGAAAAAACATAAGACATTCTTAACATTTTTCTACATCCTACGTCCTAGAAGAACAAAATTAAAAAAAATGGATTCTGTAACCAATTTATTAGGAAAAAAATATAGAGAGTGACTAGATTTTCCTAGTGGCTGGTTTTAGAACAACCTACAGGAGTCTGCAGTATTACGGTTGTACAGTAAAATCACTGCAATTGTTACTGTTAAATATGTGGTGCTACCCAACTATCTGTGAAACATTTATCTGTACTTTTATAAACATTTTACACAGATTAAATAGAGACTTTATAGTTGAACAAAGTAAGTTATGCGTTTTGCTGATAGGGAATCCGACCGCAAAGTGTATGTATACATATGGTTTACCCTAGTATCGCTTCCAGGGTGTGGATGAGCTGAACCGTCTTTTGTCTTTACAGCAGTACTGGTCGGACTCGATGCCACTTCTGTTTTCGCTATTTCGGCCTTCATTGATTCTTTGCTCGTTGTTCCCGATTTTGTCATACTCTGTAAGAAAAAAATTGAGTTATAAAGACATTTTTGTTAAAACCTTCATTCCAATTAGCACATTCGTCAAAATTAACCTTGCATGTTTTTATCAATTTCTTAATGAGTTTGATGAAGAAAAAACTAATATTTCATAAGTCTATTATTAAATTTAGAAGATTTAAAGGGATTGATGAGAAGGTATTAATATAGCAGTTGATAAACGCTACATTAAGTAATAATCACTAACAACATTCTTATCAAAGTACATCGAGTTTCGCTTTATCTGATTGTTATGCTCTCATTTAAGTGGTACAATTCCGTAATTTCTATTTTCTTGGCTACAAAACGTAAGATGGCGTTGCGCGCTAATAACTACGCAGGTGTTTATTGGCAAGCGATCTGTTTAAATCGCACATAGTAAACTGAATGCAGCTTTGTTACAATAATAACTCCCGTACGTTTGAGTGTTATTTTCCATTTCCTCAAATTCACTGAAACCCGAAATAGCTCAGCCAAATAATATAAAGGGGCATGGATTTAATTTAAACGTTTCGTGAGACATCAAGTTGCATCTGCATAACATCAGTGGTTGAAAATCTGAAATAGTTACTGGTTTATTTTTTACTATTCTATACAAGCCATGTCAAGATAAATTTATTGATCTGTGTAATGATTTAATTTCATAATAACTGCCTCAAATAACTATTGAGATTTATTAGCAATCCGGAGAAAGTGGCAAAAACTACTGTTTGTCTCAATAAAGAATAATTAGTTTTAAATACATACATAACTTAAAAAACACATTTACAAATGTAATAAAGTTTGTGAATTTGTAACATTGTAGGGGGTAATCTCTTGATCTATTGATCCGATTTAGATGAAATTTGGTAAAAAGGTAGTTTGAGAGCCTAGGAAGGACATACTTTTTATTCCGGAAATCATTCCTTAAGGGCGTAAAAATGGGGGTGAAAGTTTGTATTGGGAAGCAAGCTAGGGACGAACCCGAGCGAAGCGAGGGTGAGTCGCTAATATAATATATGGGACTCGTCAAATATAATCAAATGAGTCCAATCTCAAAGGTTTTCTTAGAGATTCACTAACTGTTTATTCTTGAAACCATCCATGAATTGAGAATTATCTAATATATTTAAACGAGCAATTCTTGTATATTATATATATATATATATATATATATATATATATATATATATATAATCTGAATCTTGGAAACGGCTCCAATGATTTTCATGAAATTTAGTACACAGGCTGTTTTGGGGGCGGTAAATCGATCTAGATTAGCCTTATGTCTGAGAGTACGCGTGTTTTCGAGTTTACATGCAGTTTTCTTTTGCATTATTCCACGCAAAATATGGTCGATAATTCACTGCACACTCGGGTATAAGCATCGTGTTCAAGCAGGCAAGGTGCAAGATAGACAATCCGATGTCCAGGTTCGAATTTCGGTCGCACACAAACTTTTTCCTTTTTTTTTAAATATTTATTCAAATTCTTAGTTTTTTTAAAAAGACACATGATTGACAGGTCGGATACAAAGGTATAATTTATTTGTTTTTTTTTTATTTATTAAGTTTTTAGTTTTTTTTTAAAGAAAATTGTACTTCTCAACCAAAAACTCCGAGCGAAGCTCGGTGGCCCAGGTACTTATAATAATTTTAGATACTAATCATCATCTCCCTACCCATTTCCCAATCACATAGGGTCGGCGCAGTACATCTTCGGTATTAGGTTCTCCTTGGGAATATAATAATTTTAAATACTAATAAATTATATTAATTATATTTAGTCGAACTTTACCTGTACTGCAGCCTTCACTTGCTGCATGATAGAAGGTTGTTTCTTCGCGTCACTTCGGGGTCGGGACTTGAACATGTCGAACAAAGCGGGCCTTCGACTCACCCCGGAGGTTCCTGTTCAACATTTTATAGAGAAACTTGTGTTATAGAGAAACTGATACTTCTTAATTAAAAATGTATGATGTAACGTTTAAAAGCAAACTTTACATTATAACAGTTTAAAGAAAACCATTTTATATTTGGAATTTTTGCATGAAATTAAATGAGAATATAATTAAAAACAAGTAAAATATGCAAAAGGCTAACATCCGAAGTCAATTACTGCTCCTCTTTTTAAAAATCATTTTCACAAAATATGATGATAAAATGAACCACCAAACACGAACACGCAGAAAGCTTTGTTTGTTTAATTAATAATAATTAATAATTGACAGTGCACTTTACCTTTAGGAAATCAATCGCCCTCGTACTCATATATCTCATTTTAAAATTTCTTCAGACATACTATTTTATTTTGCTTAATTTTTCGTTCAAAAAGTTATTATTATTTATTGGAATAAATGATCGCATTTATATATCATACTAGTGACCTAAGAGTAAGAAAGAGTACTTCCCATTTTTAATGTTCAAATAGTCATATTTATTTTACATAATACTTACGTATATACATATGTAGATACGATGAATTTTTCAACATGATTTCCTAACGTATATTGAAATTTGGAATGAAACGAAATTTTACAAGAGATACTAATAAGACATTTTTATTACCGAATAGATAGTTGAAAATAATTATAGGTATTTGTTTACCATGAATGGTTTGTTGGTACATGAGATGCGCTTGGCCATCGTCAGCAGACCCTCGACGCCTGCGTTCCCCAACAGATTGTAAACTGCGAGTAATAGCTGCATCCAAACGTTGATCTAAAACAAAAACATTCAAATAGTCTCTCAATCTTTAATATACCTGTATAAATTATGGCTATTACTATTATACCATCATGCTAAAACGGTTTTACACATTTGGATGAACTACATGGATAGATAACTGGAGCGACACATACTCTACTGTTAGCTAAAGATTACATCCCGTATATCACAACTCTCTGTTCGTAAAAGGAATGCAGCTAATTTCATCATTTCGCTTTTTGACTATTTAGATTTTTATTTTAAGCTTATAATTATTTCACAGACCAGCAAAGTGATTTCGAGTTATTTAAAAAAATTGTATTGTTCATATATTATAAAAAGATTATTGTTAAGTTAAAACAAAAACAATGTGTTAAATACCAAAATAAATCCAACGCTGATGTAATGGCAAAGTCGTTTATTTTATTGACAGAACGGCTATGCATATTATAAAAACTTTTTAACAAAAAATAAAAACCGACTTCCAGGCACTAAAATGTTAATTTTTATTTAGAATAGATACCTAATCAGATATTGTCGAAGTCGGTGCCAGCCGATGCAAAGCAAATCTAATACATTTCGATATGATCTTAAAATATTGTAGGCTAGCACCTACTTCAAAAATATCTGATTAGGTATCTATTCTAAATGAAAACCTCCGTTTAGTTATTTTTTACATTTTAGTGCCTGGAAGTCGGTTTTTATTTTTTGTTAAAAAGTTTTTATTTTTCCATTTTTAGTGTAGACGTAATAAGCAGGTAATTTATAAGAAGAAAGTTTTTTAATAACATATTCGATTAAGCAATTTATTTAAAAAATATTTATTGTTGATTTTTTAAAAACCGCTCAACCGATTTAGATAAAATTTATATGGGACCACCTGGGAAGTATACCCTTTGAAACAAAAGAAAATTTTTCCAAATCGGTTCAGGCGTCTTCGAGTAATCGGTGAACATACATAAAAAAAAAGATTCCGACGAATTGAGAACCTCTTCGTTTTTGGAAGTCGGTTAAATATATTATTTTTATACATCTGCATCGTAATTTGTCAAGACAGATTTTAATGTTATTGTTAGTGAATTTTATAGTAAAACAATATACAAAATATAAAAATATGCAAATTGGTGATAGTGATATGTTTTACATGCATATAACAATATAGTAACAATATTTCAGTACCTAAATTATCTTTGAAATTATATTAGAAAAATATATTTGTGACTTATACTTAAACGACATATAATAAAATATATGCACATGAAATTACTTATAAATATTAATTTTAAGATTTAACGCATCGGTAACTTAAATTATTTAGACAATTTATATTTAAAACAAGCAATATCAATACCTCTTTTCTGTCGCCTGTCATCACTGCTTCTACGTACATTTTTCTCCTTTGTGGTCTTCTTTGGCACATCTTTTTCTATCGGAACAGATTGTGAACCCCATGTTCCTGATCTCTCTCGCACTTGCAAAGTTTTCGGGTCACTTGGACTGTCATTTGCTACTTTTTTATCACAGTCTCCGGGGACAATGGAATTGTCTTCTTTAGGCACCTATAACAAAGTAACATCTTTTAAAACTTTATTGTTATTAAATCAGTTTTTTTAATGTATAGGTCACAAACGCTGAAATCATATATTGGTAGGTATACATACATATTATACTATATACTGCAGCGAGTTATTTGAAAACTTCTTTTTTTTGGCCAATAAATATTTTTACAATGGCATCCTATAAAAAACACTTACTGATTTATCTTCGGTTCTCTTAACCCATATATCCTCTGAGCTCGTAAGTAATCCATCTACTGTAGATCTAATTTCAATCAAACTGCTATCGAAGTAATTTTTGTCACGATGGAGATTCTGCCCTGTAAAAATGGTTCTCACACTGGGTCTTTGTTCTTCGGCACCTTTAGTACCAAAATGAACCGTATGAGCATTATTTACATGCATACGTAGAGCTCGCTCGATAGGAGCCGGTGTCTCTGCTTTTGTCACTAAGAACTTATGTTTAGCACCCATAACTGTACGTTTTGAAGATTCTTCCAACTCAGGATTTTCAATGTCAGCAATTGGCTGACGAACTTCCTGCTCATTGCATTCCTTTTCCATGAACGCATCTTGTTGTTTTGATATACCGTCATTATTTACATCAACACTTTTCTTAGAATTTGAGTCTATAGAACCATTCGATTTATGTTTTGCATTATCCTTCTTTTCATCATCCTCGTCCTCTTCCCGGCATTGGGACAATCTACGTCGTTCAGTAAAGGGAAATGGTGATGTTGAGTTAGAATTACGACTTGAAAGATTATTGCAATGATTCATAAAATAGTGTTGAAAAAAGCTATCTGTTTCAGGTGTGTCATTGTCACCTTGAATAATATCTTTTAGAGCAGCTAACGATGTTATTGTGTTATAATTAAGAGCGTTAACTAATTCTTCACTATCTGTAGAACTTGCAGAGTCATTTGCGTTCTCGGCTTGGTTAGCATTTTGGTGATCCTCGTTCGGAGTCATTTTAACATTTTCAGATAACATTTTCGTCTCCTTTTCATTTTTCTTACCCCTCTTCTTTCCCTTTTTCTTGGAATCCATTGAACCGAACTCAAAATCAATGAATTACTTTTCGTTTTAAACACTAACATATAAAGTCACATGGTAAACCCTCACAAGTAACACAGCTTAGGTAATTTCGTAACAAATTTTTAAGTTTCCGTCACCGAACAGATGACATAATGAGTATATTGGGACATAAATATTTTTTACACAACATTTCCCAATTCTAAAAATGAATATAATATTAATAATATTGGTCATGAATCTGGTAAATGTAAATGGTATAGTATGTAAAAAGGTTAAACCGTATAATGTACCCAATAAGTTCAACCTTGCATATTTAACAAAAAATAAATAGATTTGTACATCTAATACATTCAAGTAAGCAACTACTATAGAAAATTACTAGCGACACCCTCTCTTCGCTGTTATTAAATAATCAAATGTTATTGCGAGTATTATTTAGGAGATAAAAATATGCAATTGCGGACTTTTCTGTAAACCTTTTTAAGTTCTACTATTTTCTAGTACATTGTTTTTTTTTTAAGTTTAGTAACGTCAGCCATTTAAATTTCTAAGGACGACTTGACAGAACAAGTTATTCTATTTTCCCGTAGAGTGAAAACTTTTCCTTTCGTGAAAGGTATCCTAAATGTTGACCCGAGTAATAAGTTATCACTACAAAAAATTTTGTTAAAATCCGTTGTACTTTTTGCGTGAAAAGTAAACAGATATACTTATTATGTATATTTACAAGCAGACATTGCAGTTACTACTCTATATTCTGCACACAATATAACGTAAGAGTCATTGTTTTTAAAAAAATGTTTCATATACAGATTTCGCTTTGTTACTATTTTATTTTACGTATAGGAAGATAATACTGTAATATGTATTTTTACCCGGATGCGGCAAAGCCCAAAGGAGGGTTATGTGTACAGTATAGTCGTATTGTGCATAATATTGTAATATTAAGAGTAAAATAAAAAGATATATATTTTAGTTAGTGTGTTCTATATTTTCACAGATTAAATTGAAATCATTTTAATAACATTAAATTTTGCCTTAAGAGTGCGTGTTTTATCACGAGACCGAGTGCGAGTTGAATGCTTTATCATGAGACCGCTACGGTTCGGATTCTTTATTCTTTTCAACCGACTTCAAAAAGGAGGAGGTTCTCAATTCGACTGTATGTTTCTTTTTTTTTTTTTTTATGTTTGTTACCTCAGAACTCCGTCATTTATTAACCGATTTGGAAAATTTTTGTTTTGTTTGAAAGGGTATACTTCCAGATTGGTCCCATTTAAATTTCAAAAAAAAATACCACCCCTAAGGGTGGAAAAACAACTAATGATGAATTTAACCTACTTCTAATTGTCATATTGACTTGAAACTTTGCAAGTATTTCTATTTCCGTTGATAGTACAGTGGTTCGGTGTTGTTGACCTGATCTGATGGCAAGGCCAGAAGGTGGAAAGGTGGAACTCTTCAACGGCTAATAGTAGATACTTTGAGTTTGGGCTTATTTTGTTTGATTTGACAAGCCTAACACGTTAGAATTCTTACTGTGCTACTACTGTCTACACTAAAAAGGGAAAAATAAAAACTTTTTAACAAAAAAATAAAAACCGACTTCAAACAAAAGCACTAAAAAGTAAAAAATAACTGATTGGTAGTTTTCATTTACTATACATACCTAATCAAATATTTTCGAAGTCGGTGTGCTTTGGCTAAGTAATTAAAGCCTACCTATTAAATACATACCTAATCAAATATTTTCGAAATCGGTGCCAGCCCATACAAAGCAAAGCACACCGACTTCGAAAATATTTGATTAGGTATGTATAGTAAATGAAAACTACCAATCAGTTATTTTTTACTTTTTAGTGCTTTTGTTTGAAGTCGGTTTTTATTTTTTTGTTAAAAAGTTTTTTTTCTTTATTACTTAAGTGCCATAACAGTTTTTAATTCACTATAAATTCATTAAATAACTAATAATAAATCGAAAAATGAAATTTGGTAACTGAAGAAATACTTCTAGGCTTCCTGACAATATATCCCAGAAACATATCACTATTTCACTAGAGTCACTATATATATAGCAATATGTGTACAAAGAAGTATTTAAAAAAATATATATTATCGAGAAAGTTTTCACCAATCGTGTTTTCTTTGGCAATTCAAGATAAAAGTCCGAAGTATCATTTCTCTAAATATAAAAGTTGTAACTTTCATAGTTTCTGAGATAAATAACGCTGTCTAGGCACAAAAATGCTATAAGCACACACTTAAAGAGATTTCTAGCAACGCTGGGTATATTTGTCTATTTTACAATGTAAAGCAGTGAAGTCATACTTACGAATATGATTGATTGATAGAAAAATACGTAAAATGCGTCAGTATTTACATATATTATTATTGCGAAAGGTCGAACTGGCATCACATGATATACATTCGTGACCCATAACAACTGAAACATTACTATATATTATGAGAGATACTTAAATACATATTCGTGAGATAAGAAGGGAAATAATAATAATATTGTCCAACAATATTTATAATAAGTCTATTCTAATTACTCATTTTATAGATATACATCTATTTTGTAAAAATCTATATGCATAAAAGGCTTTGTCCTGACTGACTTACTGATGAATCAACGCACAACCTAAACCGCTCGTCGTAGAAACGTGAAATTTAAAGGACGTATTCCTTATATGAGGCATCCGATAAGAAAGGATTTTTAGAAATTCTTCCCCTAAGTCGGAAAAATAGGGGATGGAAGATTGTATGAAACTCTGTCATTCTTTAAGTGAAATACACGGAAAGTGGTATTTAGCTTTACGAGTAAGATAAATAAAAAATATATTTGAAGTTTTTTTTTCAAAATTCATCTCTTAAAGGGGTAAATGGGGGTGATAAAGTTTATATGGGCAAAAAATTATTTATCAGAATTACTTTATACTTGGCATCAATGCTCTTCTTTTTAGACTACAATTCTTTTTAAACTCGAATAGACGCGTTTTCCCAGACGTAGACAGACTAATCATGACAAGACTAATCTTGATCGTTTTTTCGCCCCTGAAAACCCACATACCAAATGTCAGCGAAATCATTAGAGCCGTTTCCGAGATCACCTGTATAAATTAGATATAAGATTTAGAATAATCCTTTTGTTTTTAAAACTGTTTAATAAGTGCCATTCGAAAATCACTGTGATTATGATGAGCCTATTATAAATTATACCTTTGTACGTTACATACATATATTACGTCGTACTTAGACCTATTTATGTAGGATGTTGTTAATTAGAAAATAGAGCCAATGGAAAGATTAATTTGAATTGATTTCTTTCCTTTTACTCTAAATCTATACTCAAACCCTAAATAACCTAATATTTGATACTATCTCCTCCCTCAGTATCTCATAATAGGAGACCATTTGCCTGAGACGTAATTTCTGAACTTTTAAATATTTTTTGATATAATAAAAAATGTTATTATACTTATAACTAAAAGGTCTATTATAAATAAACTTCATTAAATACACTATCGAATATTGCAATATCCTTAAGAAATAATATGAAACACCAAATTATTTTTGCAAATAATAAAGTTTGTAAGTACTTATTGCAAAAACATAAAAAAATATTTTAGTGTGTAAATATGTTAGTAAAAAAAATACAATATTTGGCACTGATATTTCAAATAGGTACTATTCTTTTCAGGAGGTACAAAAGGAAAATGAAATTGAACGAGAAATGGGGGGACGCAAAGCATTGAAAATTTCCGGCTTACTGTGATGTTGTATCGGAAAGTGTTTTGTATAAAAATTATAGGTCTAGTAATAGTCTCCAACTTTTATAAGTAACACGTTTTTCAATAACCTCAAAGTTTTCGAAATATTTGCAAAAAACTCGGTTTTTAACTTTTCCTTGGTTTTTTATTTTTAATTTCTAGAATAACCTTTTGATTTACGTGAAACTAAGGGAATGAAATCTTCAAAATACATATAATAAATTTAAACAAAAAATGTAATTGAAATGTTTAGCCATTTCCGAGAAAAGTATGTTTTATGGTCTCGAGGCCGATAATCACCCCCCACTTCAGTGGATGTTTATATTTAAAAAAAATCGTTCAATTTTCAGATAGAGCTCATTCTTTTCGTCTTGAACTCTACTTTTTGTAAAAATAAAAACATTGTATGGTCGTCCTGTAAAACGCCTTTAAAAATTTTAAAATTGGAGACAACGATAATTTTTCCTTTGCAAACTACTAATCGTCTTGGATGGTTGACAAAGGTTAGTTAAGATTATTTGATTGATCCTCGATTGTCTGACACGAATTTATTTCCACTTCCACCCTTAACATAGCATTGGTCAAAGTTGTTGGTCTACCTGATCGGTACGAGTCGGAAAGATCAAAATTACCGGATTTAAGCATAGAAACCTTAATAGTATTTATGAACGTCTAACACTTAGATAAACATTGCAAGCGTTTTTAGTAGCAAGTTTTTCATAAGTATCCTTGTGTAACTTAAAAAAGCAAATGCCGGACATGCATCTTTTCTGGTTTTTGCCCTAGTGTTTCACGGTAAAATGCAAAATAATTTTAAAAATTAAATTCACAAATAAACTCTAACTTCAAAATGTCTATCTAGGACTATGATGTACCTACACAAGCAGCTGATCAATAACAAATGAAAACCGATTTGCGCAGAAACGACTTTACTTTCCAGTCCCCCTTTATGTTATGAAAAATGACTAAACAAATAACGATATATAAATAAAAGACAAGTTTTTAATTATAGTACAAAATCGAATAAGTAACGAGTGAAAAGAAATTTGTAAAATTGAAATTTTAAGCTTTAGACCAGAGCTAATAGTATGTTGTCGTGAGTTTTAATATAACGTGGTTTCTCGTGGGAATGATATAATCTTCCTCGGCAAAAAGTAGCCTATGTCACTCTCCAACCCTTTCAACTATCTCCACATAATAAATCACGCCAATCATCACTCTGTTTCGACGTGAAAGAAT